TTAAGTAAAATTTTCTCACACAATAAAAGACAGAAGATGTTTCAGTAATTTTGTGAAACTATTTAGGGGATTAAATAAGAAATTTTAGTGTGACTTTATTAAAGAGAATTGTAAGCTGAGTGTGGTGGAATATGCTTGCAATATCAGCTCCTTAGGAGGTAGAGGCCACAGAATCTGAAGTTCACAACTAGTTTGGACAAAGTTAAAAGACCTTGTCTCAAACATGAAATTGATAAAAACAAAAAAAGGGGGGGGGGAGGCAAAGATGTAGCTCCAGTGGTAGAGCCTTGCCTAGCAGAGGTAATGCCCTGAGTTCCACCCATAAGACCACACACACAAAAATAAATTACTACAAAGATTATCTTGTTATACATTCGTAGTCTATGGCTAATTTAGTTTTGTAGACATGTGTTTAGAGGGTATATTTGAGAGGCTTTTACAGTAAAAATTAAGCTCCGGTGATTATCCCTGCTTCAAGCTATTTACCTTGAATTTCAATAAAAGGAAACAAGATTAGCATAAAATTTGAAATGCAAATTAAATGTATATTGGGGTACTAGTAAGGAGTACCAGCACTGCCCTAAGTTCTACTCTCCCCATTCTTACTTATATGTCGTGCCTTCAAATTAAACACAAAGTATCATTTACCAAAATGCTCTCAAATTCTGAAAATCGTTCCTAGCAATTGTCTAACTGGCTCTGGTCCTCTGTTTTCATTTTGCTTCAGAGCTCATAACAATTAGGAGCCAACATCTGGCACATTTTGTTCCAAACTGACGGCTAAACATAAGCATTCTAAAAGTGTATGCATACAGAGATCAAGAAAACAGTGATAATTTTCTACCTTAAAAAATACCCTTTTGAGGAAGAAATATTTTTAAAGTGTTTTCTTTGCGATCACTTAATATTTTATTTTCTCTGGAGCTTCAAGAGTTATAATCTAAATTGCAGCCGAAGGAAACTTCAGCTAGCTGATAGGCACCTAGCTATTTCCATGCTTCAAAGCCTTCAGAACCATCTGCTTGTTGGCAGGTGTAATTAATTAGCTAAGTGGAAAAGACGGTGCTTTTAGAGTGAATAGGAGGAGTGGAGGGAAAACTCTGTGAAAGCCCAATCCTAGGCAGGCCCATCGGCTGGGTGCCTCTGGGCACATTTCCGATGCTGAAAACTCATTGAATTTAATGGTTCTTAATTTCACAAGATTTCTAATTACAGCTAGGATAATAAGATGTGATCCAGAAGTTGAAAAAAAAGTTGGCACATGTTCAGGGAAAATCCTCCCCCACAATGTAGACATCCTAAAGTGTGGAAGTTCATTTATTTGTATAGTTCATCCACTTACTCATGCAACTTTGTGAATAAGCAATTTCAACTTTGGTTGGCTGACAGGTGGCAAGTGCATATTAATAATAGGAAACTGTATCATGTTAAGTAAATCTTAATCAACATCATCTCAGGATAGTCAAGGAAAAGTTCATCTTCAACATTTATCTTTCCTCCTTTAATTGATTAGAAAGGACTACTACATTCTTAGAACATAAATGGGAAAGAATATAACATAAAAATTATTTTTAAAAAACTTCTGAAAATTTTATCTCCATTAAGTTATATCATTATATTATTGCCTACACTCAGAAGATAATGAGTTCCACATACCCCAACTGATGAAAGTAAAGTTCTGTCATACACGCAACTAGTTCCTGGTGCTTGGCACTCAATGGGTTAAGTATAGTGAGTGAGAAGAGCAAAGATTGTGAGCATCTGAAAATAGCTGTTATAACTGAAAAGATGAGGGGTTGCTTCTTTGGAAGAGTATTATCAAGAGGTTATGTAAACTCGATTTTGTAAAGAGGGCACAGGAATCTATGATTGATAGGTAAACAACTCATGAGTTTTATACATACTCTATACAAAGCACAGTATGTCTATTGTCCTATGATGACATCCTGTGTATTAAATAATTAAATCTGTGAATATTACAATAATGATGAAGACCTTAAGTCAAATGACCAGATTGAAGCTGGGAACCAGTGGGTCATGTCTATAATCCTAGCTACTCAAGAGCATGAGATCTGAGGAATGTGGTTCAAATTCAACCAGGGCAGTAAAGTCCATAAGATTCTTATTTCCAATTAACCATCAGAAAACCAGAAGTGAAGCTGTAGTATAGTGTAATGTAGTGTAGAGCACTAGCCTTGAGTGAAAAAGCTCAGGGACAATGCCAATACCATGACTTCAAAGCCCAGTTCTGGAACGACAATAAAAAATTAAAACTAAAATTAAAAAAAAAAAAAACAAAAGGAAAAGATTGAGATGGGCTCTCCTACTCTCATGCTCTATCATCTCATCTTCTTCTCATCCAACCTCTGATAGACAATGGAAAAGGAAAACAAGGAAATCGATAACTGAGAGAGTTAAAAAGCATGAAGCCTCTACAGCAATACCAAATTGAAGACCAGAAGGCAATGTATCCTCATCTATTTCCTCTCTATATGGATTGTGATCATTGTTTTCTGCAACCAAGGGCACAGGGAACACCTGTTCTGGATGACTGGAAGGGGTGCTGCTGACAATATGGCCTCAGGAGATCTCACTCTCACCATGGAGTTCATGTGTGAATTTTAAGTAGACTTTCCTGTCCCCTGGAAGATAGAATCCATTAAGTGGCATTCCTGTTAGCATGCTCATATTTATAGACTAACTTCATAACTGAAAGAAAACTAAGGGCTAAAAGACTGGAAAGTTAAATTATAATTAGAAAAAGAGACTAAAGTAGAACCAAGTTGCAGTTGAGAATGGTCTTCTTGCTCACTATAAGTAGATGATGCCTATAACCCTATCTCCTCAGGAACCAATTATCTGGAGGACCTTAGTTTTAGGCTAACACAGTCAGAAAGGTCTGAAAATCTCCATCTCTAAAATAAATAATTAAAAGCCAGGATAGAGGTATGGTTCATGTGGTACAATGCTAGCAAACATGAGGCCTTAAGGTCAAATACAAGTACTGCCCACTAGTATCCCCCAAGGAAATTTCCATTTGGGGAATATGGTTTGTTGTGGTCTTTGAATCAATTCTTCATTCCAAATATTGCATATTTCTTTTACTTAAGAACAAAAGTTGGAAGCATTTAAAAGGATTCTCACTAACTTTTCCATACTTTGAGCTACAATTTGGTTTATGATCCTTAAAGTCATTTTTTGTTTCTCTTGACTTTTTTTTTCTTTTTGTCTGTCATGGGGCTTGAGCTCAGGGACTGGGCCGTTTCCCTGAGCCTTTTTGCTTATGGCATTGAGGGTACATGGATAGTGAAATACATTTGCTACAAATGAATTAACTGAACTATAAAAAACCCTATGGAGAGCTCAAATAGTTATAATTCTTCCAAAAGACTAAGTCAAAGCCTAACAAAGTAAGTAACAGGAAATGGGTACTTGCCAAAAGGGGTGGGTGGGACCAAGGAGAGAGGAGTTGAAGAAGGACTAAATGAAGGGAGGAAGGGAGAGAATGCAAATATAAATTCATTATCTGTACCACAGAACTGAAAAATTTAAGGGAAGGGGTGGGTCAAAGCAGGTTGGAGATGTTGCTGTGCTGATATAGCTCAAGATGCATTGTTTATACAAACATTTTTTGTTAAATGGCAAAATATTCACTATATAACCTAAAAATTAAGAAGTGTGAGGTGAGTTGGGGTGGGTGGGTGGAATGTTGGATGGGTGACCCTGATCAAGATGCCCTTTATTCATAAATTGCTTTGCTGAATGGCAAAGTACAACTACTTAAGATAATAAAAATATTCAAAAAAGTTTTTCTTATACTTTGCCAATTACATTGATTTGTTTTTAGTTTTATCAAGAGATGTGTTAGTCTCATATCCAAACTATGTCATCACTAATCTAAAAAACTGTGCTGTGTCTCCTTGTCCCCAAATTAATTTACCACAGTCTGTCAGAGAAATCTTACCAAATTTGAAATGTAATTGTTCTTTCAAAATAAATAACAATACAGAGCAAGTCTTTAAAATGATGACACAGGCATAAAAGTGATTTGGAAATAGATACTTCAAAATGTATCTACTATTATCTTCAGATAATTTAGAAGAAAGAAAATATATATATTAAGGATAGCATCCTATAAAAAAGAAAAACCAAAGAACACATGAATGATTTGTAACAATAAAATATATACCAAAAAAATCTTTAATGGAAATAATATTTATAAGATAAACTGTTTCAGAGAGTGGAAAAAAATGGGAAACCAAAATTAGGAAAATAAATAAATAAATAATGTTACATCTGGGATTCTCAACATTTAGCAGTTCCAGAATAAGCAAAGCCTCTATCAGGAAAGAAATTATTAAAGCATTAGGCAAATATTTTTTGTTAGCCTAAGGAAAAGAAAAAAAGAAGTAGAAATACTAAACTAACACAAAACACTAAATACTCAAGGTTCTAGTATCTAGGTATACTGTAAAATTCTATTTACGAAAATGTTTCCATACAAGGAGACATAGAGGCTAAAGAGACAATGGAGCGCTTAGGAGGGAGTTGGGATCACCATGTATTTACACTTCTCACCAGGGACACTCTAGAGTGTTCAAAGGGGCACTTCAAATAGTGAGCAAAATGATTTCCAACTTAGCATTGGAAATCTTGCCAAACCATCAGCCAAAATCAACCGATTGTAAGTAGTACGGAGGAAGACATTTTCAGATAATTTTTGTTTTACCAATTTGCCATTTTCTTTTCCTTCCTTCTCTCTTCCAATTCCTCCCCTTTCCCTCCCTCTTCTATTCTCCCCTTCTCTCTCTCTCTTTCTTTCTTTCTCTCTCTCTCTCCCTCCCTCCCTCCCTCTCTCCCTTCCTTCCTTCCTTCCTTCTTTCCTTCCTTTCCTTTTTTCCTTCCTTCCTTTCCTTCTTTCTGTCTTTCTTTCCTTTGATTGGGTCAGGACACTATGCTGGAAATTCTTGAGAATAGCCTTCAAGAAGATGAAGGATCAGATCCTTTTCCAGTTCATAAGTGTGATGATTGGGTTCTCATGTATTTGCGTGACAGTGCCTCCCTCTAAACCTTGTTACAACATGGGCTTGTAACCCATCTGATGTGAAAAAAAAAGAAGTATCAAAGCAATATAGAAGACATCGGACCCTGGAACCAGCTCAGGAAGTCAGTAAAAAGAAGTGCAAGCTGCAAAAACATAGGAAACCTATACAGACTGGTGACATAGAGCTGAATGTACAAAGAGAATATCCCCAAGGAGAAAAGGGGTACGAGGCTCTGAAGAATCTGGCAAAAATTAGGCTATCATAAGTCAAATATTTTTTAAAAAATGGAATCATCCAAAATAAGTTAAAAAATTGCACAATACAAATATGATTGCAGATTCTAGTCCCTACCGAGTCATTCATAGTCTTTAATAATCAATGTTTAGATAAAATTTTGTGTCTTAATCTGAAATGGTGCAGAACAAAATTTTCAAGATGGTTGACATTATGTTCCATAAGCAATGTCTGAAAATCATAGAGCTTGAACTAACCATATGGAAGATAGATTCAGAGACATATCAGTTAGAATCAGGAGAATAGCTTAATGGATTATGAATCAAGCATCATGGGAAAATGCTTGTTTTTAAACATGAAATGTGTTATTTGGCTTGAAAGTACAAAGAGATAAAACAGCTGAGGAAATAGAGCAGTGACCTGTATAATGGACTTCTCTGTAGCCAAGTCAATACAGGTGATTCTTGAGTTGCAGTGCTGTGTGACTTTGCAGCTTCTGAAATAATAAATCATGAACGGTCACAATAAGAAGTCCAACAGAGACTAGTTCTATGGCACATTCTCTGATTATTTGGTCTGTCACAGGAAGGATGTAATACACCTCTTCTATAGATTACTTTTGCTTTAAAGTACTTCTGTGTGTTTCACTGAAATATCCCATTTATCTTTGTACTCAGCATTTTTCTTTCTATATTGCTTGTGAATTTCTATATCCTTTCATTTTAATACTATATTGCTGCACTATCCGCAAACTGTAAAATCCAATATCTATACAATTTAACTGATATATTTCAAAGCAATACAAATGAGAAGTATGGGAAATTTAACAAATGTCTAGCCCTAATGAACTAATTATTTAAATGTGGCACATGATTATGTTGGGTCTTCTAGACCTATTATGAATATGTTCCATATAATTTTGAAATGTGAATAAAAATTCATGAGCAGAAAAATTGCAAAAACAAGTATAAACAGGAATACAATTCAAATGTATTTCAAATCCTAAACATATATATAGATAGATATATATATCTATATATATGAAACAATATGCATTACTTGTCACTCAGAAGCTATTGGTCAAATTATGAGCTTCACTTTCCTCATTTGAGAATGCTTCACAGTAGAAAAAATGAGACCATATATATGAGTACCTCACAATTACATTTAGAGTGAGATATATATATGTATTTTCTCATTAAGCATGTAATATATAATATGTAACATGATTGTATTGTATACAATTTATTCACAATGCTGAAGTAAAAAAAAAATAAAATTAGTCTGGTGTGAGTGGCTCATGCCTGTAACACTAGCTACTCAGGAAACTAAGTTCTGAGGATCATGGTTCAAATCCAGCTCAGACAGGAAATTCCATAAGATTATGATCTCCAATTAACCACCAGAAAATCAAAAATGGCACTGTGGCTCAAATGGTAGCATGCTAGCCTTGAGCTTAATTGCTCAGGGACATTGCCCAGGTCCAGAATTCAAGCTGCACAACCCACCAAAAAAATTAAAATTAAATATTAAAAATTACAGGTGGAAATAGTAGAATAGAGAATTACTGACTTTTTAAGCATCTTAAAAATACATTTTAAATTGTAAGGCAATCAGGAGACTTATCAAACAAAAACCCTTTTGTAGTAGTTAAAATAGAGACAAGAAAAAAAAGGAAAGAATAAAATAATCAGGATACAAAATATAGTCTTGATAATGATCTTACTCCTTTGAACCAATGAAGACAAGATATAAACATTTTAGTGAAACAGATCAGAAGCAACCAAAGGGAGAAATAGAAACACAGAAGAAAAAGACTGCTGTCATTACCTCAAATTAGCTACAGATCCACTCATTGGTTAGTCACAGCTTTTCAAGTGGAGGTTTTTACGCTGATGTAACCATCAAGAATCAGTCTGGACATTTCTCAATAATGTACCTATATCACTGTAAGTATGGAGATGATTTGAAGTCCACAGCCCATTCTTCAGTTACTGGGGCATAGGGGGGATTTAAACAACTATATATTTCTACACATGGACACATTATTACAAACTGTGATGAACACACCACAGATTGTGTGGCCACACATCTGATTTGCAGGGACAAATGCAATTGTTTGTCCCAGAGTAATTATAAATAATGCTTTCCCTGTCAATGGGCCTCAAGTATTAATAAATTGTATGATAACTTACTAAAAAATAAGGATTTATGACAGCATTATACAAGTTGGAATCATTACACGAGTTAAGTACAAGATGAATGTTAAAGTCAAAGTTAAATGAATGAAAGGGGAAAGGTGGAGGAGGGGAGAATTTGGTCAAGAACTCATGGTCTCCACCACAGAATTAAGAAAAGTGAAGGAAGAGGTGGGTGGAAGGGAGTGAGAAGATGAATGGTGATGTTGAAGAAGAAGCATTGTATTCATATACTTCTTTGGTAAATGGTACCACCTGTCTACAAGGACTTAAAGATTTTAAAAAGAACTTTAAAAATTTTAAGGCAATGTAAATTCTGGCAAAGAAAGTGACTTCTAAAGCTAATACTTCAATCAAATAGAACAATAGCAGTGTCAGAATTTGATGTGAAGTATAGTAGGTTAAGAGAAAAGTGCTCAACCAGGGGCCATTGGATATTCCTTGTATTCTTAGTTATTCGGAAGGCTAAAATTTAGGACTGTGATTCAAAGCTGACAAATACAGACTTTTATCTTCAGCTGATCAGCAGAAAGCTGAAACTGAAGGTGTGACTCAATTGGGATAGCACGAACTGTGAGAAAAATATGTGTGTGTGTAGTATTAAGAATTATTTAAGATATTTTTTAAATCCCTACTGTATTTTTCATAAACTAACTTTAATAGAGAAAGAAAAGTGCTTGACTTTCTTAAGGTATTATGCCTTTGTGTTTGCCAAAAAAAAAAATGTTCATTACTTCTGCTGAAGAGAGTAAGGCACAAACTACCTATCAAATTTGTAGAGATTGTAAAAAGTGTGAAGAAGTAATATAAAAAAAGGATTTATTTTTCTCCTTAAGAATTTCAGCCCTTCAAAGATTGTATTTTCAAAACATTCCATGGTTATGACAAATTCTACCAAAAATATTTAGTACATTGCTAACCTCACACAGCTAACTTTTGTTTATGATATATAATTATGTTTGATATGTAACTCTATCTAACTTTTCACAAATTATCCAGCTGTTACATTGTGACATATTATGTGTTACATATGTGTTATTCATGAATAAACATTGATAAACATTAAAACTTTAAAAATCATAATAATAGCTTTTTCAAAATTTATAGAATGTTATTTGGGGGGGGAAACAAAGCTCCATAGCTCAGCTAATTTTGTGTAAATTAGCTATATTACATAAATCAATGAGTATCAATAACAATTACTATCATATAAAAGCATACAGAACTCTACTGAACAAATAATCAAGTAGTGATTCATGGAAAAAGAGCTTGTAATTCAATACTTCACATTTACTTTCCCTATTTGTTGACACATTGTCAGTAGTTGGAAAGTAATGAAGCTGGAAAAACTCTGCTCCCAGAGGTACTGTTTCCTAGATGAGATGCAAAACTCCAGGCTTGACCCTAAGTGGCCAATAAAAATCCCAAAGCATCTTTCAAGGAAGTAGCAGTATTTGCCTCGATGTCCTGGCTTGATTCCAACTAACTGATTACGCTCCACCTGCCTGGATAATTGTAGACTGTTTTAATGAGAGAACGCAGTTTCCTTATTTGGTTATCTCGCCTTAATCTTCTTCCTCTGAAAAGACTATTGCTAGAGTTACAGGGAGGACACTTCTGGTTGATAATTTCTTTTAAACATTTTTTTTTTTCCGTAGTGGGGCCTGAACTCTAGGCCTGGGAGCTGTCCCTCAGATCTTCAACTCAAGGCTAGTGTTCTACAACTTGTACCACAGAGACACTTCCAGCTTTTTCTGCTTATGTGGTGCTGAGGAATCCACCCAGGGCCTCATTCATGCAAGGCAAGCACTCTACCCCTGAGCCACCTTCCCAGCCCCTGTTTTAAACAAATATTAAGATACAAGCTTGCTGACTATCTACCTGAGATAAATAATGAATGTCTTAAAACTGATGTGTTGGAAATTTTTGGATATACACATTTTTTGGTGGGGGGGGGGGCTGTGTGTCAAGAGGAGATATGGCAATCCTTAATAAGGGGTCTCAGCCAGGCAGAGTACCTTCAGGTCAAAGAGGGTATTTTGACAGAACAAGCAGTTCTAATGTGCCCAGTAAAGTTCTCTTTTATGACATTACCATAGATTTGACTATTGCCCTACTCATTGGTAAATAACGCCTGCATACATATCAACCCTGAAAAATGTTCCGGCTTCTAACTTTAAGAACAGAACTTTTGATAACTATCATAACAGTACTTTTTGCCTGTGGTTCTGTGGCAGCGATGGTTATTTCCTTGCTGTTTTCATTCTTCCAAAGCTATAGAGTATTTGTTGGCTGTATGTATTTACCAGCTAAACCTTATATTTCCCAGTACTGTTTGTAGGAAAGCCCTGACCAATGAGACGTGGGCAGAAGTGAAGTACACATGCCATTTCTGCACCTTATCTTTAAAAGGAAGTGGGGAACCTTTGTCTTTCGTCATTCCTTCTTCCACAGGTATGCTGGACAGACAGCCAACTTCAATTGTACACTCGAGAACAACATTCAACAATATTGGCAATGGTGCTCACGTCACCAACATTCCCCAACACAGAAGCCATATCAGTTGTGGATTCTTGTAGGCAGAAGGGCTTCAATGTTTTACTGAAGACAGGATAAAACTTCTACTT